CACAAATAATAGCTAAAAACGCCGAAAACTCAATATTTATGGAGTTATGGCCATTTTAAAGTTTTCGATAATTCATGCTTAAAAAAATGATCACAAATAATAGCTAAAAACGCCGAAAACTCAATATTTAAGGAGTTATGGCCATTTTAAAGTTTTCAACAATTCATGCCCAAATAACTGATCACAAATAATAGCTAAAAACGTCGAAAACTCAATATTTAAGGAGTTATGGCCATTTTAAAGTTTTCAATAATTCATGCCCAAATAACTGATCACAAATAATAGCTAAAAACGTCGAAAACTCAATATTTAAGGAGTTATGGCCATTTTAAAGTTTTCAATAATTCATGCCCAAATAACTGATCACAAATAATAGCTAAAAACACCGAAAACTCAATATTTAAGGAGTTATGGCCATTTGCAAGTTTTCGATAATTCATGCTTAAAAAAGTGATCACAAATAATAGCTAAAAACGCCGAAAACTCAATATTTAAGGAGTTATGGCCATTTTAAAGTTTTCAATAATTCATGCTTAACTGATCACAAATAATAGCTAAAAACGCCGAAAACTCAATATTTAAAGAGTTATGGCCATTTTAAAATTTTCAACAATTCATGCCCAAATAACTGATCACAAATAATAGCTAAAAACGTCGAAAACTCAATATTTAAGGAGTTATGGCCATTTTAAAGTTTTCAATAATTCATGCCCAAATAACTGATCACAAATAATAGCTGAAAACGCCGAAAACTCAATATTTAAGGAGTTATGGCCATTTTAAAGTTTTCGATAATTCATGCTTAAAAAAGTGATCACAAATAATAGCTAAAAACGCCGAAAACTCAATATTTAAGGAGTTATGGCCATTTTAAAGTTTTCAATAGTTCATGCTTAAAAAAGTGATCACAATTAAAAGCTAAAACTCAATATTTAAGGAGTTATGGCCATTGTAAAGTTTTCAATAATTCATGGGTAAAAAAGTGATCACAAATAACAGCTAAAAACGCCGAAAACTCAATATTTAAGGAGTTATGGCCATTTTAAAGTTTTCAATAATTCATGCTTAAAAAATGATCACAAATAATAGCTAAAAACGCCGAAAACTCAATATTTAAGGAGTTATGGCCATTTTAAAGTTTTCAATGATTCAAATAACTGATCACAAATAATAGCTAAAAACGCCGAAAACTCAATATATAAGGAGTTATGGCCATTTTAAAGCTGTCAATAATTCATGCCCAAATAACTGATTACAAATAGTAGCTAAAAACGCCGAATACTCAATATTTAAGGAGTTATGGCCATTTTAAAGTTTTCAATAATTCATGCCCAAATAACTGATCACAAATATTAGCTAAAAACGCCGAAAACTCAATACTTAAAGAGTTATGGTTCTTTTTAAAGTTTTCGATAATTCATGCTTAAAAAAGTGATCACAAACAATAACTAAAAACGCCGAAAACTCAATATTTAAGGACTTATGGCCATTTTAAAGTTTTCAATAATTCATGCCCAAATAACTGATCGCAAATAATAGCTAAAAACGCCGAAAACTCAATATTTAAGGAGTTATGGCCATTTTAAAGTTTTCAATAATTCATGCTTAAAAAATTGATCACAAATAACAGCTAAAAACGCCGAAAACTCAATATTTAAGGAGTTATGACCATTTTAAAGTTTTCGATAATTCATGCCTAAAAAAGTGATCACAAATAATAGCTAAAAATGCCGAAAACTCAATATTTAAGGAGTTATGGTAATTTTAAAGTTTTCGATAATTCATGCTTAAAAAAGTGACCACAAATAATAGCTAAAAACTCAATGTTTAAGAAGTTATTGCCATTTTAAGGTTTTCAATAATTCATGCCCAAATAACTGATCACAAATAATAGCTAAAAACTCCGAAAACTCAATATTTAAGGAGTTATGGCCATTTTAAAGTTTTCGATAATTCATGCTTAAAAAAGTGATCACAAATAGTAGCTAAAAACGCCGAAACTCAATATTTAAGGAGTTATGGCTATGTTAAAGTTTTCAATAATTCATGCCCAAATAACTGATCACAAATAATAGCTAAAAAACGTCGAAAACTCAATATGTAAGGAGTTATGGCCATTTGAAAGTTTCATCCTTTAAAAGTGATCACAAATAATAGCGTAGGATGTGAAAGTTATAACACACAGGAAATAGAACGGATTTGCCAATACTAATAAATTACAACCCTTATTCCATGCCGGCTCTCTGTCAGAAATATTTGAAACTACATGGAACAGGTGTTTCCCGTTTATTTTTCTAATTGTTTTGAATAGACAAAAAATGGCATAGATTTTTATTTAGAAATATTATAGAAACTATTTCATTATTCATTTCGATGTCAAATCTGGTTAAATACTTTTGTGACGGCTCTACATTAATTGTTTCTCATACCATTGCTATTTTAAACATTTTGTGTTTATATTTCAAATCAATGAATATAAATACCGGAGTGACACATGGTACAAAAATTTTCAAGGTATGACATTAAAATCACTTGAATACATTTCTATCTTTTGGAAGTCTTGTAATGTCAAAACCCACAAGTGGCTATCCAGCATTTAAATGGGGAATAAATCTTTTGTGTCTCGTACCATGGCTCGTTACCGTGATACTAGTAGCGTTACCCGACATCAAGGAAGTGGTCGGAAGAAAACAGCAACTTCAGCAAAAATTATCGAAACCCGCGCCGCTGTGGCCGAAAAATGACTCGTGAGCTCTGGATAAAGCCATTGAAATTTCAAAAAGTGCAAGAACTTACAGCGCAACAGAAAGAAAATAGACTCAAAAGAGCTAAAGAGTTGCTTCGCTTGGTCGAACGTTGTGAACTGCCGAATTTGGATTTCTCCGATGAGAAAACATTCGCTGTACAGCAGTTTGTAAACAAACAAAATGATCGTGTTTACTTGCCAAAGAGGTCAGCTGAAAATGTGCACCTTCGATTGACCACCAGAACTCAAGCGCCGGCCATGGTACACCATCGCCATAACAGTCGACGGTCGCACTCCGCTCGTGGCGCACTCCGCTCGTGGCGCACTCCGCCGTGGCATCATAATAAATGCCGAATATTCTAGAGGGTGTATTAAAGCCTTAGGCACGCAAACATTTTGGCCGCAGGCCTTGGACATTCCAACAGGACTCAGCACGCGCCACACAAGAAAGTTTACAAAATGAGGTTCCTCATTTCCAGTGCACAATGGCCACCAAAATCTCCGTTTACCAATCCGTTCGACTATTGTGTCTGGAGTATTTTGGAAAGCAAGGTTGGCACTAAAAAATACCAACGTGTCGATCACCTCAAGCAAGCGCTTCGCCGGGAATGGGCGAAAATACCGCAGAGCAACATTCGGGCAGCGTGTGACGGCTCATTGGCCGTTTTAATGCCATAATTCGAGCCAAAGCTGACCAATTCAAACAAATCTAAGCTTATTCTTTTTCTTTCATGCAATAAAATTTAAAAAAAAAATTAAAAATTATGGCGTTTGACTTTGTTGCACCATAGATTTTGTTTTGAATATTATTCAAAGAAAAAGTGTTCAATTTCTGCTAAATTTAAAATTGAAACTAACATCGTTCGGGGATAATAAATGTTTGCGTTTTGTTATATTTGAAACTCGAAATTATGAAAAATCCATGAGGTTCCCTTCGTTTTTCATTATTTTTCTTTTGAGTTAAAATATTGACAGCAAACTGTCAAATAAACAAAACAACTTGTTGCATTTGTTTTTAGCAACTTTGAAATTGCAATACTTTCGCTTTTTTATTGTACTATGGTACAAGAATAGGGAAGATGTGTCAACGCTTGGGAACATTGATATTTCAATTTTTTTATTATTTTTAATAAATATATTTGAATATGTTTTCTTATGTGGCGTTTCCACTGCACTTGATTCGCTCTCTATTCGTTGTTTGACCCTTAACTATGAAAAAACTACCTAATTCTTCACACAAAATTTCCTGAGCGAACACTCATATTTGTACGTTGTTCAAATCAAATCACTCTCAGAACAACGAAAAAATATGTCCCATCCCTAAAAAATGAGAGCACTTATCGAAAAAATAAATTATGACATTAAAAAATTATAAATAGAAAAATTTAATGAAATTTTAAAAATTTTTGGGAAGACTGAAAATTATGAATGAAAACTACAATGTTGATTGGCGTATGTACATTCAAACGAAAGTAAATTTTGTTTTCTTTCTCATTCGAGGTACGCATTTGGTCCACGAGTTAAAATTTCTACAGAAAACTGCAAACAAAATAGTCAATATTTTCAAAATGTTTCTATCGGCAGGAAAAATGTTTGACAAGTGTCTCTTCAGCAGAATTTAAAAATGGAAAAACACAAAAATATGTTCAAAATGTCAATATTTACACAAAAAGTTGAAAACGTGAATGAAAATTGTAAAATTAATGATATAATAAATCTTTGGGAGAAAAACAATAATTTCTTATATTCATATTAGTGAGAATTTCATGTATTTTCGTGTACATTCCCTTTAAAATCAACAAAAATTTTTTTTGAACAAAGGAATTATTTTACTACGAATTACGAATCGTGCCGTATGAACGGGTTAATTCGTGTACCTAATTCTGAGAGCGAACAACGTTGTTCGGTTTCCAATGGAAACATGCTATTAAACGACACAAATCGGAGGTTGTTATAATATGTACTTTTCAACAGTTATTACAAATTTCGATAATTTTTCATCCAACATTTTCAATTTCCAAATCGGTTTGACAGTTCATTGTCCCAATAGCTTTGTCGATGCGACTACCTGTATTCTTCTACCATGCATTCATGGTAGAAAAATACAGGTAGATGCATCAACGCTTGGGAGCATTGATATGTCACAAATTTTTAAATTTCTTATCAAATATAAGTAGATTTTTATATGTTTTCTTATACGACACAAATCGTGGGTTGTAAAGATATACATTTTTCAACAATTTTTTTACAAATTTAAATAATTTTTCATTCAACATTTCCCGTTCCAAAATCGGTTTGACAGTTCATTGTCCCAATAGCTTTGTCGATGCGACTACCTGTATTCTTCTACCATGCATTGTGCCATTGTTGTATGTTTTGACAAATACAAAGTCATGGCAACCCCATTTAGCTGTTTGTTTTTCTCTCCCCATTCGTAAACTCGGTTAATTTGTTTTCTATTTATCTTTTATCGGCCATTCTCTTCACCTTTATTTACTCCTATCAGCAACGGAAAGCAACAATTCCGTTTGTTTAGTTTAGTTAGCTTTGACTTGGATTCTTCTGTACACTTATCTTTTCCTCGCTAACCACAATGGATACCAATATCGACAATGCTCTGATAGAGAAGAAAACCCTTTCTCCAGGCCGACAATATATTCCACTAAAACCAGGAACGAGGGTAAGGAGTAGTTTTTTCGATTTATTCGCATGTATTTGAAGGAACTATTATGCATTTCCATTTAGGTGAAGTTCCATTTCCAAACAAAGAAACCTGATGGAACTATACTGGATGATAGTCGAAAAATGGCAAATCCAATGGAACTGGTATTGGGTAAAAAATTCAAATTGGAAGTTTGGGAGGTGATAGTGCAGAAAATGGCATTACATGAAGTGGCCCAATTTACGGTGAACAAAAAGGTCAGACAAAGGTCATTACCAGGATGTATTACCAACTCTCAAAGATGACATTGCCATTAAATGAGGGCAAAGCGTGTCATTAGTTTGCAGGTTTTACTAACTATTGTCTTTTTGCAGTTGGTAGCTCAGTATCCATTCATATCGAAGACTTTACGTGATGTTGGCAAAAAAGTGGAAGAACGTCGTCATTGCTGTGGAATGACTCTACAAAATGATGGACTAGGCTATAAAGACTTGGATGATTTGCTGTCAAATCCTACCAATTTAATTTTCACCATTGAACTGTTGTCCATTGAAATGCCTGAGGATTATAAAAAAGATACATGGCAATTGTCAGACGACGAAAGATTAACTACCTCGGAGAAATTACGTGACGAAGGAAATGAGCTATACAAACAAAAAGAATATGCCAAAGCTGAAGAATGTTATCGTCAAGCTGTGGGACTCATAGAACAGCTAATGATAAAGTAATAATGCTTGACATGTTTTAATTTTAATTGTACATACTAAATAGCTTTTATATTGTGTCAATTATCTTTTTAATAGAGAAAAACCCCACGATGTAGAATGGCTGGAATTGGCGAAACATAAAGTTCCTCTTCTGCTCAATTATGCTCAGTGTAAGCTATTAGCCAAAGATTATTATGCCGTTATAGAACATTGTACGGAAGTTCTTCAATTGGATCCAGATAATATTAAGGCTTTGTTTCGTCGAGCTAAAGCACATTTTGGTGCATGGAATCCTGCAGAGGCTCGTGAAGATTTTCAACGTGCAGCTGAATTAGATCCATCTTTGCATGCTGCTGTAACGAAGGAGTTGAAGGCAATCGATAAGACACAACATGAGCGTGATCTAGAAGATAAGAAACGTTTGCAAGCATTATTTTAGTTAGCGGGCAACATATTACAAAATGTAATATAAATTAAATTATATTAGTAAAATCTATATTATTGAATTGTATATAATAATAAATGTTTATATGTGATAAAAATTAAGTTGTAATCTATTCTCGAAAATAGAAATAACTCGAGAAAATCGTTTATTGACACATTTCATGATCTAAGCAAAAAATACATCAACATCTTCGAAGAATTCTCTCAAGAGGTATTGTACGCACCAGTCAGATAGTCGGGTGGACATCGTTAAATCGACTATCTGAACCGTTATTTCGGTGATGCACATTGTGGACATATCAAATTATATATCTGCACATTGTGGACATATCAAATTATATATCTGTAGCCATGAGATGAGGGTATAAGAAATGAGCCTGTCATTTAATGTCACATTATAGTTAACATTTGAACTGATAGATGTACCTCTCATCTTATTGGGCGTACTTCAATGGTCTCTCGCCCATCCAAAATTGTCCCTCTATGTAAACTAAACATGTTTTACTCATTGTTCTCTCCGACTATCCCTATTCAGGATTACACCCAAATATATGAAAAGGGATAAGAATTTGCTTACTATAATATTCTACGGATACATGTTATGTGAATCAATGTTTTCATATCATACGATTACGGAACCATCAAAAAGTGAAATGACAACATCGACATCACATTTATTCGCCACACATTTGTTTTATTCATTTTCCAAATTTGTTTTAATATGTTATTAATGTAAAATTTAAGATATTGTGATTAGTTTTTGAAGGAGATCCATGTGACATATTTTTTGTATATATTTTACATAACAATATATGTATGCTTATGAATTACTATTTAATAAATGTTTTTTTTTGTTTTAGATATTAACTAAAATTATACATTAATTTACAATGACTTCACAAAACAATAAATAACTAAAATTACACATATTCGTCTACGAAAAAAATGTTTTAATTTATTATTTATTTATTATTTATTATTTATTTTCTTAACTACACCCTTCTGAGGCGCATTGTTGCTGCACCCTCAGCTTCACCCCTATGTTTGTTGTCATCGGTACGCCATACAAACGGCTCCAGACGATCTTCAACATCCAAAAAATTGTTAATGGTCTCTAGGCTTTCCAAGTTTGCATTCAATATGGAATTACAACGACTCAGCTGTTCGGAGATCAGACGCACCTTGGCAAATTGTTCAGCGTACGCAGCATAAGTCTTTTGCATATCAACAAATGAAGCAAAAAGTGTGGTTATTGAATTGCTCACCACTTTAGTACGTTCAACAAGATGCGACTGATCTTGGGCCACCATGTTGGCACACATATTCAGATGTGTTTGCATGCGACAGCAAATATTCAACAAATGTGGTTGAATATCAAGTCTTTCCAACAGTTCTGCATCTTTGGTGAATGTTGATGAGCTAATGGTGTCCCGTAAAACTGGCAAAAATTGCGGTATATTTTGCAGTTGTTGTAACTCGGTTTCGATTTCTTCATGAGGATCCTTTACTCCGGGTTTTACAATCACTATGCTATGGGTACCAACAGTAGACTGAGGTCTTTTTGGTTTGGCACCTGTATTGGGCCGTCTTAAGACTAATGAATTACGATTAGTTGCCGGACTACTGCCGGATTTTCCTCGAATCTTAGGTGAATCACCAATAGGTCTGTCTGTTGTATAGGAAACGTAAGGCAAATCGGAGCACACACTTAACGGCGGAGATGAGGGCCTACTCATTTCCGATGTTGTTGGAGATGGTATAGGATCATTGGTTTGCCTTAGTTTACTGGTGGTGGATGAACTAGCACTACCCTGTCTCAACATGGAACGTTTTTTTATTGCACCTGCGGCAGTTCCTTGAATCATAGGCGAAGGTCGGCCAGTAGAATTTTGATTCAATTGAGTTCTAGCATCTCCATCGAATATTTCACGGCCGTCCGCTTCCGCCCTTTGCTGGGAATGTTCAGCACCCATTTCTGGAATATTTATCTTTCTTTTATGATAATCAGTGACCTTTCGGATATTTTCTTTGTTCTTGCGAATTTCTTCCTTTTTTCTTGATTTTGGACCGAAAAAATCAAAAACGCTCCAATAGCAGAAGAGAGGATATCGATGAGAACCAAGTAAAAAACGACATTGTTTACGAATGTGGTGGATGATGTATAATGACCTAAGACGTGTTTACGAATATGGCATGAGAGAAAACGCAATCAGCTGTAGTACTTTAAAATAGGGATATGTTGCTCGACTTACCGAAACGCTTAGATATCTTATGTGTTGTTCATACGAAATGGTATAATTAAGAAAGTAAAGTTCATGCAATGCATATAAACTTTTAATTTTTTTGTTTTCAAAATTATTAATTTTACGACATTTTATTGTCAACATGTCTATTCATAAATCCATTGTACAGTGAGAGTCAAATGAAAGTGTACACGAATGTTTATTATGTTCCCTGTTTCATATAAACCCTATCATGTAATATTTTATACAACAAATTATGTTTTTTGAAAATGGTATTTACCCCTCTCTTATTTTCTAAAAGAAAAATTAACAAAATTTTACAAATAGAAAAATTGCATAGCGAAAACAAAAAATAGTCCATATGTGACGCGTCAAAAGAAAGTGTACAACATGTTATTCCAATACATGAGAGATTGGACACAGTTAGATTTTACCGTTATTTTTTCTTTTTTCCTTTCTGCTTGTTTTTCTTTTATTGGTTCTAATACTGTCAATGATTTAGTAGTGAACTGGTCAGCAACAATTGAAGTTTGAAGACATTCTAAAAAATTTTCCATAATGGGTAAACAAACTTCACTCGATACACGTGAGCTTATCATAAAATTTCACAATGAGGGAAAAACACTGCGTGAAATTGGTTTAACTATCGGCAGGTGCCACAATACGGTGAAAAAAATAATTGATAAGTACAAAAAGTTCCAAAAATTGGAAAATCGTCCTAAATGTGGCAGGCCAAGAAAACTGAATGAGGTTCAAATACGATCGATTGTACGAAATGTAAAGAAAAACCCTGTAGAAAGTGCCGTTAAAATATCCAAAGAAATTTCAGAATCGTCTGGAACTACTGTTAGTGCCAGTACAATACGTAGAGCACTACACGCTAACGGGATTCATGGAAGGGTTCCAAGAAGAAAACCCTTAATATCCAAAACCAACCAAAAACGTCGACTCGATTTTGCTAATAAATATAAAAATAAAGATATTTCTTTCTGGAATAATATAATATTTAGCGACGAAAGCAAATTTGAAATTTTTGGCAAAAGGAAACCTGCTAAAATTTGGAGGACCAAAAACAGTGAATTTGCGGAACAGAATTTAGTATCCACTGTAAAGCACGGCGGAGGTTCAGTGATGGTCTGGGGATGCATGGCAGCTGGTGGAGTTGGTAACTTGGTTTTCATAGAAACCACAATGAATAAAATGGAATACCTTAACATTTTAAAGGAAAATTTGAAGCCTAGTGTTGAAAAGTTGCGCTTGGATCGAGGTTGGATCTTTCAACAAGACAATGATCCAAAGCATACTTCAAAAATAGTTAAGGAATGGCTGCTTTATCACACTCCTAAGCAATTGGATCACCCTCCCCAATCTCCGGACCTCAACCCAATCGAACATTTGTGGGAACATCTCGATCGCGAAATAAGAAAGAAAGAAATTCGTAGCAAGGACTCGCTCAAATCGGCTATATTGGAGGAATGGTAAAAAATTTCACGCGAAGTAACCGAAAATTTAGTCAATTCGATGCCGAGAAGATTACAGGCTGTAATTCAAGCAAATGGGAAGCAAACAAAATACTAATATATATATTAATATATGAATTTATATATTAAGTTTGCATTGTACACTTTCTTTTGACGCGTCACATATGGACTATTTTTTGTTTTCGCTATGCAATTTTTCTATTTGTAAAATTTTGTTAATTTTTCTTTTAGAAAATAAGAGAGGGGTAAATACCATTTTCAAAAAACATAATTTGTTGTATACAATATTACTTGATATGGTTTATATAATACATGGAACATAATAAACATTCGTGTACACTTTCTTTTGACTCTCACTGTATATACACAATTACGACATGCTGGTAGCACAAGAAAATAAAAACGAATAAAAATTATTCGCACAATAACGGACAATAAAAAGTAGGCAAGACAAGAAAAGATGTATAAAGCTGTTACTTACATCCCGGGATTCTCAGAAGGTCTTTGTAAATCAAACATCTATAATAAGGACGACTATCACTTAGCGTTAAAATCCTGTAATAATGTCGACAGTACTTTTAGTAAAACAAAATCTAAAATTAAGTAGGAGGGCAAGTGCAATGTAGTTTATATATAACATGTAATCGGAACGACTCCGACGTATGCCAAAAGGCATATGTCGGCACGACAAAGACGAAATTGAAAACTAGACTTTCCGGACATAAATCGGATCAAAAAAGTGACAAGCCTCTCGAACGGAAGACTGCTCTAGTGGCCCATTGAACATTGACAGGACATAAACCTAAACTTAAAGACGTCGACATGTTAGCACAAGAAAATAATTACAAAAGACTATTTACATTGGAAAGGTTGCATATTATAAGTTTACCAAATGACAAATGAATTAATTATTAAACCGATACAGGGCCTCAACTCTTGTTCTATGAAAATGTGAAATGAAAACTTTTATAAAGGAAGGAAATGTCAAATGAAAAATTTTATAAAGGAAATATTTCTAAATTCATAGTTTCATATGACAAGAATCCAGCCCCAGACCCATGGTAGAAAAATACAGGTAGATGCATCAACGCTTGGGAGCATTGATATGTCACAAAATTTGAAATTTCTTTTCTAATATAAGTATATTTTTATATTTTTTCTTATACGACGTCATTTGGAGGATATTATAATACTCGTTTTCCAACAATTTTTACAAATTTAGATAACTTTTCATTCAACATTTTCAATTCCAAATTTGGTTTGACAGTTCATTGTCCCAGCAGCTGTTTCGATGCGTCTACCTATATTATTCTACCATGCCCCAGACCATTGTGCTCACATTTGCAGAAGACTAGTTCATAAACACAGACGAAAGAAAACTTAGTTTGATAGTGACATTTAAACTGAATAGACGAGCTTTTACTTTAAAATGTATGTTATTTGTTGTGTAAAAATGTTTATTAGAATCAGTTTGTAATTTGTGTTTTTTGTAAAAGAGATCCCTGAAGATGATTTCCGGAGGAAATCGAAATATTGGATGAATAAAAAAGGAAAAATTCAAAAATAAAAAACATAGTTTTTTAACACCTTAATGCTAGGAACACAATTGGAGCGAACGACGAATTTCGCCCTACGCGGCAACAAAATGAGCCGCGAAAATTCGTCGTATGGAACACAATACCGACGAAATTATAAAACAGCTGATTAAGTTGTTTACTTTTTGCTCATTTGTTGACTACAATGAATTATACAAGAACACATAATTCTTTACGTTCTCTATTATAATTTCACTTATGTCCATCTTCTCTATTATAAATTCACTGATATCCATCTTCACTCAGGCGCAAGTACACAAATAAATAAACAAATTAATTATGTTTTTTTATAGAGTAACAGATAGTAGAGTGACCATAACAAATTTTAAAGTAAAAAGTAACTTTATTTACTAAAACACATAAAATTCGTACAAGTATGGCCACCTTGTACTGTTTTGTTCGCCGGTCGCCGGCGTATGAAATAGAAATAAAGCTAATTGAGTTCGCGGCGACCGACGAAATTTTCGCCGGTGCCGTGATTGTGTGCACCTCCATATACACATATGTGTTTTATTTTTGACGACGAACATACGCCGCGAAAAAATTCGTCGTTCGCTCCAATTGTGTTCCTAGCATAAGCCGAGCAATTAACCAAATAATTAAAATAAATATAACAGCTCAACAATATACAACAACAACACAAAAAACTGTAAATGCTTGAACTTTGAAAATAATAGTTGTGTTCCAGTACTTTTTTAGTAGTAAAACTAGCAGAAGAGAGAACAGTTCGAAATGTCATTCTCATTTAGGTTTGCTCAAAAAATAAGGGAACGGAAAATTAGCAGAAATGCGATAAAATGTCAAAATTCAAAATTCCAAAAGTAAACAGCCTAAATCGGACTGGTGAAACCTTACTGAAAAGAGCGCCAACATTTAAAAAATGAGTATTGAAGACGATAAGTTAAAATTAATAATTTATAATAACAATTAATAATCTGATTCCTCATTCAGCCAGTCCTCTTCACTGCTGCAATCATCCAAAAGTGAATACATCAGTTGCTCCATATTTTCTCTTTTTGTTTTTTGCACGACTAATATTAGTTTTTCCTTTAGTTTTCAAGTTGATCATTTTCTTTATTGAAATGTATCAATACATTTTTCAACCTTGTTAGCCCTGCCAATTAAATGTCAAATTTACAATATGCACATTTCTGCTCGGCCAAATTCATGTAGCTAAAACAAGCAGAAATGTGCACCACTCAGCGCCATTTTTTTTTCTCGAGAGAGCGGCAAGTTTTGCTAGTTTTTGGAGTACGGGAACGCGTTGTAGCAGAATTAGTGCTAATTAGTACTAATTTGCAGGTTCTGGAACACAACTAATACGATTGGACAAATTTTTAAAATTATCAATACCATTGTACAATGAAAAAATAAGGTGGAGCTACCAGCTGAAAAACAACTTGTTGCATCTAATTTTAAATAATTCTGACAAGAAGCGGGCATAGCACTAGAGGTGTATTTTAATAGTTATACCATGATAGAACACTTGTGAACATTAATATGTCAAAAATTTAAAAAAATTTTTTCAAATATAAGTCGATTTCTATATGTTTTCTTATACGACGTCAATCAGATGTTGTTATAATATGAGTTTTCAACAATTTTTACAAATTTGAATAATTTTTTATTCAAAAATTTCAATTGCAAATTTTTTTTACAGTTTATTGTCCCAGCAGCTGTGTCGATGCGTCAATTACTGTATTATTCTATCATGAGTTAAGGTGGGAATACATAAAGCGCTTATCTGGCTTCTTTGGAAATGAACAAAGGAGCGTAGGGCCAAAATCGAAGTAAGTCAACCTCAAACTCCTTTGCTCATCTACGAAGAAAAAAGTCGATGGCTTAAGCCAGCTAAATGTGCGCTTTATGTATTTCCACCCTAAGACGGGCATGTTCTACCTCCTTATTGTACCATGCTTACACCGATTTCATATATTTCAGGACGTCAACATGACGTATTTCGACCAATAGTCACAATAGATTCGTTCGTTTACTTTCCCAGTAAAATTTACTCAGTAAGAATTTACTGAGAATAAGATCGGTTTCTTTCCTCTCGAAA